TTAGTGTCGATCCACAATAAGTATTTAATCTTTAAACTGTAAGAAATTGACCTATCATAAGCGAGTATTCTTTTCATATTCGATTATAATTGGTCAATTTCTTACTTCTTAAAGCTTAAATCACCTATTGTGGACCGACACTTAGATAGTATAATCCCTTCGTAAGAAGATAAATAAAATTTCACATTTAATATAATTATAACATTAATATAATATAAACTTTTTAATATACTAAATTTCATATATCAATATTTTTAAGCATATAGCAATGTAAAATATCTTAAAACTTGAAAAATAACACTTGATCCATATTATGTAACTTTGATTAATTTCTTTGGAAAATTAAATGCGATATAAAATATACATTTTTTTAATTAATTACTCTACAAAAAAAATCTTCATTTGATATGCGAATGCTCATATCGAATGATTAAAAGAATTGGATTTATAATATACACAAAACAAAAAAGATAAAGTAAGACAGTTAAGAGAAATATATCATAATAACAAAAATTTGATTTAGATTTTTTTTTCTTATATTCTTTGAAGCATATATGTACGTTTATGTCTGAGTTTTTATAATGTAGAATATAAATGATGATAGAAACAATTGTTTATTCCAAGCACGTGTTTCAGTATAACTAAAAAATGAAGGAATAATAAACACTCTTAAAAAAAAGACTTACGTAAAAGTCAGTTTTGTTCCGTATTAAATTAGCATTGTACAAAATATCAAAATCATATCAATATGTTTTGCACTGTTTTCTCTTTTGTCATATAACATATAAAAGATTATGTTACTTTCTTATATTTATAACTAAATTATAATAATCTGAACAACTTTTCAGTTCAACTTTTTAATTCTAGAAAAGTTTATTTGAGTCAGATTGCTATAGAAAGATTTTTATTCATTTGGACAGTAAAAAAAAGATCACAGCAACTACTTTTTCACTTCCGAGAAGATCCACACGTCAATGCTGTTTAAATAACAAGTTTCTATAGAATGAGTAAGATATGAACCAATATTGACTGTATATGTTAAAAAAGACGTTGCATATGGATGCTGCAGTAATAATATTATCTTGTCTGCATACTTAAGATAAGATATGTTATTATTTAAAATAAATCTGTTTTTATTAATATACACAAAATCCAATTTGTTATCTTGTAAAATTAAAAACAAAGAAAATTAAAAATTAAACCTCGTTGTTTTAATTTTATCATATAATCATCATTTTGTAATTATACACATTATTATATCATATTAAAATATTCTATTATAAAAATATGTAATATTAAATTGTAACATATTAAATTGTAACAAATATATTAACAAGCTTAGCGTAATAATAATTATATCCCTATTGTTAAAATAGTTTATAAACAATCAGTTATTGATTAATTAACTTGCAAATAATTTACTTAGTGAAACAATACTGATTTACTATAGATTAAAGTTTAATTAACTTAGATAATTAGTAATTGATTAAATCTAACTTATGAAGATCATGAGTAATATTTATTCATTCAATCGTTACTTCTCAATCTACTGTCAATGTTAGAAGATGTTTGGTTCACTTATTTCTATCCATAATATTCTAAAATAAATATAACACTTATCGAAGATTAAAAAGGCAATGGAAACGAGCACGTGCGCATATGTGTATCTCCGTAATTGTGTTTCTTGGAAATAAGATATATAATGAAAGCAACTGTCAAATTCAGCAGAAGGGGTCACTCTGAAAGATATAGTTGACCTCATTAACGAGAAATACATCTTACCAAAATTTCAAACTAAATAATCAAATTATTTTATATTACATTTTACATTTTACATATTTTATATTACATTTTACATTTACATTTTACATTTTACTACTATTTTACATTTTACATTTTACATTTTACATTTTACATTTTACATTTTACATTTTACATTTTACATTTTACATTTTACATTTTACATTTTACATTTTACATTTTACATTTTACATTTTACATTTTACATTTTACATTTTACATTTTACATTTTACATTTTACATTTTACATTTTACATTTTACATTTTACATTTTACATTTTACATTTTACATTTTACATTTTACATTTTATAGTACATTATACTTTTATTAATTAGTGAAATACTTTAATGTTTAAAATATTTTAATGTTTAGAAACAGTAATTATTTAAAACAGTAATTATTTTTGAAATTTCTGATCATACATAGAAATTTGTGAAGAGAATTATAATTAAAGAGAATTATAATAAATAAATAATAAGAAATTAAGAATTAAAGATTAATAATTATTAATAAATTATTAATAATTGCTTTAATATAGACATTAATATAAACATAATAAACACATTATTAATGTAGACATACAAGTTTTGTAAAATATTCGGTACTATCGTTATGTCGTTGAATTCGACATTCGACTGGAGATAAAAATAAAGCTTTTATCTTCTTGTGTGATCGTATTGTGTTGCATAAAGAAACGATATTAAGTCTAACAAACATCGAGATTACCTTATAGAGAAAACTATCCTACTTCATAAATCCGAAATATATACTTTGAAATTGGGATTACAAGTCTGTCGACGGGCAGTATCACAGTTCAAAATTCATATCGCACGTTTCGATAACGGCCCGAACCTCCGAGCGAGTAGTCACGTACAAAACTGTGAGATGAGTCCATCGAGCGTCGAGAGAAAGAGGGAAGTAAGTATGCCGAAAAAAAATATCTATCTTGAGAGACAACACGTCGCAATCGAAGGCCGCCCACCATATATATAAGCTGAGTGAAACGAACAGCTATCATCAGTTCACATTCGAGTTGTTCAAGCGCAAGCAAACACAGCACGAATTTAGAGATACAACCATGGCTCGCGCTGTAGCTTTCTTCCTTCTCATCGTAGCAGTTGTCACCATCAGTAAGTCCAATAATAATCAATTTTGTTAAATATCAGAATTTTTTACTTACAAATAACAAGTTTCATCTTGACATTATTGCAAAACTTTACTTAGCATTAGATTAATGCATAAAACCGTCATGACAAATGTAAAGTTACGGACAAAGTTATAATGAAATCAAAGCAAAATTATAGCCGTTGACATTATATCTTTCTTCTATCAAAAAAATTTTTTTAATTCTTCCTTTAAAATTTCCTGGAAAGAAGATTTGGAAAGAAGTTTATTTGATATATAGGTTAATAAGAAAGAATAAATCTTTTATATTTTCATACTTTACTTAATAATTAATCAAATTGTGTATTGTACAATAATTTGGATTCTTAATTCTGTTTTTAATTCTGCTCATAAGTAATAAGTAGATTAAATAAGAATGTAATATGCTGACAGACGTTTTAAAAGTTGCTTATAAAAAACGTTTATAAAAAATGAAGCAGAAAATCAGGAGCTAAATTATTCTATATACAATTCTATGATAATTATTTTATAAGACTCGCAAAACAGCAGATTAATAATTAATTTTTAATTATCTTTAAATAGGTGCTGCGCCTAATTGCGGCGAAAACGAAGTATTCAATAGTTGTGGTTCATCGTGTGAAAGTACCTGTCAAAATCCAAATCCTCCTGTCTGCACACTGGTCAGTACTTTTATTTTTAATAAAAAAATATTTTAAAATAATTTGTTAACATATTAAATATTTTAACAAAATTTTTTCTTTGTTTATATCTAAATAAAAAAAAGAATAAATCTGGCATGAACTAATTCTTATAAATTAATAAATTAAATTAAATTACGTATACACTTTATAATAAAAAATTTAAGTGAAATTTTAATATTAATCTTTCAATTACTTTATTTTACAGGCATGTAATCCCGGATGTGAATGCGTGCAGGGATATTTGAGAAATGCGCAGGGCCATTGTGTGTCTACACTAAATTGTTAACTAAACAACAAACACGATTTTTAAATTTTATATGATATAAATCCATTAAAAGCAATGTCATTAATTAGAAAGTTAAAGTAATATGTTCTTATTGATCTAAACAATTATATTATATAGTTATTGATTACTTGTTTTAGTAACTAAAGTAAAACAATATATTGCTTTTCATATTTGTAATAAAAATATTAATAAATACTAAAAGATTTCATTATATTATTCCAGATCCTTATATCCATGATTCATATGGATTCACAAAGCTTGTTGCTATTATGAATGTGTATCAAATTATTATATGTTTTGAATGACGAAAAATAAAATAATATAAACTACAACATAAAAAGAAATAAATGAAAAATTAATCATGTAGAAATTACTTACAAATTAAATATAAACTAAAAGGTTGTTCCACAGAGATGTTATTATTGTTGTTATTATTGTTGTTGTTGTTATTAAACTAATCACTCGTTTCTTATTTCTGCAATAATTATTATTTTTAAAAAAGCATTTATATAATATAATAATTGTGTAATAATATAAAATGTACAATACATAAACACCATACATATACACACCAACAATATATAAAATAAAATATACAATTATTTAATAGCATGTAATATTAATTTTTCAACGATTAAAAAAAGTATTTTAAAAAAAGTACATATGTTTCTAAAAATATCTTCTAAGAAAGAAGTTGACTTTATATTTGAGGAATTTGCGAAGGAAAAACTTAAATAGCGTCTAGAACACTAAATACAAATAGATGATACATAGATTACATTCCTAATGACTACAAGTAATCTTCCGGATGTCGGCACTTTTAATGTTTCACAGTCACTTGTCACGGACGTTGTATACAGACGGAAACAGTTCATTATGAACTATAACTTGTTTACTACATAATAACAAAATGTCTTTAATCTATACAAAGTGCATGCATTCATATTATTTTATTTTTATATGATACACAATATACAATATGATATACAATATACAAATTCATATACATTCATATACATTACTCTCTTTCAATTTTTATATTAAACAAAATACAATTGTTAATCTTTACCAAGTTCAATTTAATAATAATATTATTTTAATAATATTATTTATTAAATAATTTCTTATATTAATTGTTAATATTTTATTTTTTAAAAAGTATCTCTTGAAAATATTATTTTAATAATATTATTTCTTAAATAATTTCTTATATTAATTTTTAATATTTCATTTTTTAAAAAGTATCTCTTGAAAAATTTATATTTTTTTATCGTTGATGATCATCAGCAATCTGTACATATGTATCTTACAAGGTGCACAATTAATGCAAAGTTAAAATATAATAAATGATCTTGAAGTACTTAGTATTATATAACATTTGTTAAATAATGTAAATTTATAATGATTTTGTGATACGACAAACAAAATTTAATACTGAAATTTAATATTTACTTAAGATTCAAATTATCATAACATTGTAAATATTGTAAAACAGTTAATATTAATTTAATGTTATATATTGTAAAATGATATTGTAAAACAGTTAGAAATAAATAAAAAATATTATAATGTTTAAAAATAAAAAACATTTTTTTAATTTCTAGCCATATATTATCAAATTATGCTTAGTATTGACAATTTTTATTTTTAATTTCGATGCTTTTAATGACAAATAAATAATATATAAAAATGACGCAATATGCAATATATTTATTATCAGTGCTTCTACTGTATCTATACGAAATAAAATGATAAAGATAATAACGCAATAGGAAACAAATACCTTCCAGATAACTAGAACTCTATAATCTTGATTAATGCATTTTTGCATCGGCTGAGATAAATCCTAAGAGAAAATATGTCGTGAATGATGCATAAAATAGTATAAAAATATTTATTTTCAAAAAACTTTATAAGAGCGAAATATGACACTTATGTGTATCTATGTGACAATATGATCTACATAACAACACAACAAAACTCATTATATAAATGTATAGTATTCAAAAGTATTCAAATGTTCTACACTAATATATTGTATATAAATTAAACTTTTAATATCAACTTAAATACCGTTTACTGCAGTCCGGTCTTATTTTTTATATTTGCGTATATTGCTGATGAAACCATTAATATATTTTTCTGATAATCACATCTGGCGCAATTCATGCGCTAATTCACACACATACTTTGAGTATATACTAAGAGATATATTAACACGCATTAATCATAATTACGCAGTCTTGAGATCATCACATAATATATGAAACTTTAATTTTGTAATTATGTTAATGTTTTTATTATTTTCGTGTAAAAAATAATCATATTAAATATCGGATTAAAAATACGCACTCAGAATAATACAAAATTAATACAACAAATGTGATCGTATGTGGCAACGCTACATTGAAATCGTTTAATTTAATATAAGCTTCAATCCTAAAGTCGGATTAGTCGTATGACCGGATGTCTTCGCTAATTAAAGACATGGTTAATATCTTAGGCGCCTTGTACCCTCGTCATACAGATCATCCAGTTTCCGACCGACAGAAATTGAACCCCATCGTTATAAGACAATTTGTCATTAATAGAATTGAAAACGATGTATTCTTACATGATTCGCAGTCAAATGAGAATGACTTGCGAACAACGTCACTATTTTCGCTGGCGTGTTAATAATCTAATCTACAGACTGATCTCTGATATAGAGAGACTGACTCAATTTTAGCGGCACACATATCATTGTGAACAGATATAGATATAATAGGGCATGATGGTGCAATAACTTCTCGAGAAGTTATGATTAGCTGCAATCATCAGGGGAGTATCAACAAAGCCTTCCGTTAATATTATCAACAAAACGTTACAAAGCGTTAAATTTCAGAAAACTGTATTATTATGCGACATATAATATGTCACGTATCGACTATTTTCTTTAATATGTATGCGGCTATGTGGAACAGAATATCCGACTATGTCCGAATATAACGCAATACTAAATTCATGCTTTCAGGGCAGATATTTGACATTCGCCAAATATCATGGATGACGCGCGTGGCCATCGCCCCATCGCCAACATCTCAAACCATAGTCAAGGACCCTTAGAGAGATCTGAATCGTCAGTTTTAGAGGGAAGCGAAACAGCGATGAGCGATCGAAACTCGCTCGAAGACGAGGGGAGAAAAAAGGAATTCGAGGCATATTCGACTACCGCGTTTCCGGTCGGCCGATTCAATATGCCGGACCGATAAAGCCGAACGTCGACTGGGCAGAGACAATAAGACGAGGATGGTGAAGGGAAAATGTTTCGCGTAGTCGACTTGTCGACTCGCTTGCGAACGAAGCTTCAATGTAGAAGATTCTCTGCTGTGAGGGAAAGATAATTTTCAAATCATTCGCATTACGTAAATCGTACAATTGATGTATATTATCCTCATCGATCGTGTACCGCAGAATATAATTTAAATATAATTGAATATCATATAATTCAAACATAATTGCAGTTTTGTTTAATTATAGCTTGCAAGATGTAATTGTTGCAATAATAATTTATACAAGAGAAAAATTAATTATAAAACATTAATATTACATAGTGTTATGCTTTATATTTATCTGTATTTATTTTATATTTATATTATTTACATATTATATTTATATCATTTATATTATTTATATTATATATTTATATTATCTCATGTCAAGCACGATACGAATAATTATAAAACACAAATGAATAAATCTAAATGAAGTAGCAAGCTCAAATGAAATTTTAATATCCGCTGACGTATAAACATGGGAGAATGATTTAAAGATAAGAAGACGCATATTTTCCGAGAATGAAGAGCCTGGGGAACTTGATTCATCGCACCCGATCACCCCATTTCTCTACGAAGATTTAATCTATTTCGAGTACTGCAGCTCAATCGAGGTCTACTGTGGATCAGAATTTACGTAAATCGAAAAGTTTCATAATGGAACCCACAAATCTCTGCGATCCGATCATGTGTCTTATGTCCAAGCAATTGTATGAGAAAACGATTGTCCCAGCATACTGTGTATAAGCAAAAAAAATCAATGATTTCTAGAATATTTTCAACAGATAAGCGCAATCTATATTTCCACAAAGTGCAACCTATATTCGTTAAGAAACAAGATAACAACTAACCGATATCTGATCAGGTGGATGGAAAATTTCGTGTGTACACAGATTGTAATACGAGTTATAATAAATTACCTGCAAAACATTAAAGACAAATTTATTACTTTATTTTCATTATTTTATAATATCATGATATATATTGCAAATCATTAGATTAAATCATCCATTCTTATTATCAAAATAAAATCCCATAAAGCAAAATATACTAAAAATAATTGAAAAAGTATATAATTGTTATCAAACGAATATATAGTTTTTTAACATTTAACATAAAATGTAAGATATAAATACAAATTTTTATATCAACGTGTTTAATTCTAACAGCCTCTAATTTAAGGCTGCATGTCTTATTAGGTTCTAGTGAAAAATTGTAAACTAACAAATGGAAATCATGCTCTTAGAGAGTGCAAATTGTATTTGAAAATACAATCTCCTTAGCTTATATTTCTCTTCAATTATCGCGTCTGCCTGCTGTACTTATATTTGATTGAAGAGCATCATGACAAAATAATTACGCCTTAATAAAGACGACCAGGAAAGCACCAACGTGAAGTGGCAAACAGAGCGGTAGGAATAGCAATTATATAATAAAAGCCATTAATATTCACAAATTTGATGGATTATCGATAGAAGTATATTAATAAAATATCTATCGATACACATAGATACAAATAGATAAAATTTAATCAGATGGAGTCACATAACTAAAATATGATATTAAAAAATTCTTTCTCTTATCAGAGATCAAAAATAGAATTTATATTTACTAACAAACAAATACATACTTACGTTTAATTTTAAATCAATTTATTCAATAAATCTTTTAAATAAAAAAGTTAAAATAAGTAAAAATTTATTCCTCTTTATAACAAAAATTAAAAATTATATAATAAATTAATATAAAGTATAATATTTAAATTCAATTTTCTAAAATACTTATATGACTACTATGTTTATTATATTATATATATTTATATTATGTTATATCTGTTCTAGCAATTTTATGTATTCTATGTGCTGTTTTGCAACAGTATTTAGAAAT